CACATATATAACATGTATCTTAATTAACAGAGATGTACATGCAAAGATTGACAATCAGGATCGTGAATTGAGTTGTTGTTACTGGTTTGGGTTTTGGTTCGGATTTTGGTTTCCGTTTCTGTATCCACAATTCAGAAAAAACGAATAGTTGTGGTCCGGGGTGTTCACGATTTTCTGCTTGGGTGGTGCAACGGATAAAAATTAAGAGTAAAAAGTCGGAGTGATTTGTTTTCTGGTAATGCAAACTTCTTGGATATCACAACGGTTAAACACTGTCACAACCTATGGCCACCTGTMTCATCCCACAAAAATGGGTTCACGAGGTGCCATGATTTCGGTTGGAAAAAACGCAACCAACGTGACATAAATACCAAGCGTGAAGCATGTGAAATAAAAAAAGGGGGGTGCAGAATAAATAAAAAAGGGACGCTATGGGATGTGAGGGGTCGGGAACACTTTTTGTGACGAGCCTCAGAGGCAGCAACAGGCCCCTGTTGCTCCTCAGCAGCAGCCACAGCCTCCTACTGCAAGAGGACCTGCTACATTCAACCATCAGGATACTAGATTCAGAAGGAATAGATTGGGTGCCTCCAATACAACCCCACAACCTTTGAATACTAGTGCTGGTCCCCCTCTTGCCACTAAGCTTGCCAACGCTGCTAGTGGTAGTAATAATGGAAGTGCTGTGCGTCCTTGGCCTGCAGTCGCAGTAGCAGCAGCTGTAATGCCTCCTCCAGCTCCTGTTTCTACAGTATCTACTACCAAGTGATCCTACAGCAAGAGAGGGTCCTCGAGCTTGCATCCTATTAGTATTCTTGATAGTGACAGTGAGAGCTCTGTATTCCTCTCCAGCTTTGACAGCACATGCAAGGGGGATGTGAAGCCAGTGGTAGTCAAGTCTGAGTTCAAGCTTCCTGGTCCTTTGCCAAAGCATTGCAAAGCCTCTGTTCCAGCTACTCCAGCGTTTGCAAGACAGATCAGACAGGAATCTGTCAAGCAGTCTCTTGGTAACAACACCCTTTCTACAGTTGCTGTGCTGGATCTACTGTCCATGCAGCAGCAGCCTCAGCAACAGGCCCGTGTTGCTCCCCAGCAGCAGCCCCAGGCTCATCCTACTGGTGTGTGTGAGACGCAGACCTGCTACATTTAACCATCAGGATACTAGATTCAGAAGGAATAGAATGGGTGCCTCCACCACGCCACAGCCTTTGAATACTAGTGCTGGTCCCCCTCTTGCCACTAAGCTTGCGGCTGCTACTAGTGGTAGTAGTAGTAGTAGTGGAAGTGCTGCGTGTCCTCGGCCTGCAGTTGCGCCTGCAGTTGCAGCTACTGCTGCGTGTCCTCCTCCAGTAGTAGCAGCGATGCCTCCTCCAGCTCCTGTTTCTACAGTATCTACCAAGAAATCCCACAGCACGAGAGGGTCCTCCTCCAGCTTGCATCCTATCAATATTCTTGATAGTGACAGTGACAGCTCAGGCTTCCTCTCCAGCTTTGATATCAAGCCAGTGATGGTGAAGTCTGAGTTCAAGCTTCCTGGTCCTTTGCCAAAGCGTTGCAAGGGCTTGGCTGTTGCAGCTACTCCATCCTTTGCAAGGAAGATCTGGAAGGAATCTGTCAAGCAGTCTCTTGGTAACAACACCCCATCTACAAAGGCTGTACTGGATCTCTTGTCTGTGCAGCTTACTGCTGAGGACACTAGTGCTGAGGCCATGGCACCAAAGAAGAGAGCACAGGACATGGAGAACCTTTGCCCTAACATTGAGCAGGCGACTGGTTCCTTGGTGAAGTTTGCTAAGCGCCAGCTCTTTCCTAAGAGGGGAAAGGATACTGTTGCTGCTTCAAACACTGGTGACTTGAATTTGCTTGCAGTAGCAGCGAGCACTGGCTTGAAGCGCCCAGCAGCAGATTGAGGCTTGGGCTTGGGGCTGAAGCAAGTTACCAAGCATCCTGCTTTGAGCAGCAAGAAGTCTATCACTGCTGCAAAGAAGACGCCAGCTGTTCCAACCAAGAAGGCTAGTCCTGGCGACTTGCCCAGCAGCCAGAGCACTGTTGGTTTTGACTATGGAGACAGTGATTGATTTCTGCTGACTTATCTTGTCTCCTTTCCTATGGGTGCTGAATACTGAATAGTACTGTAAGCATCAATTCAAATGCTGAGCGCATCGATTCCTCTAGTGGTGGTTCTTTTCCTCCTGTTTCTCCACCATTAGGATGCCCTCTTGCTGTCTCTTTTGTACAAACAGAGAAGCTGTTGTGTGCTGTTTTAATCCTCCTGCGATTGCTGTTGACAGAACACCAGGTACCTTATTGAGGTACTAGGTACTACTATTGTAATAGTATAGAGACCATATTAGATTGTAAACCGACTAGATTGCAGACACACTAAACTGTAGGCCCAGGACAGCTCAAACGTGCGGCTTGCTGGTCCTTGGGGTATTGCTCAAGTCTATTGCAACTACTCTTGGTAGCTATGATTCTTACTAAAGATGACCTGTATACAAATAGTACTGCTGTTGAATGAAAGGATCTTGCGTTGGATCCATTCCTCTTAAGCTTAAGTATGCTGGTCAATCGATTCAACTGACTGTAATTCAGTCCATCTAGTCAATCCATCATCCAAATTGATTGATTATCCGAGGAAGCTGCTCCAGGGGACTGGAATCCAAGCCTCTCCAGTAGGATTCAGTTTCCATAGGCCCAGGATGAGTTGTCACGCCAGCATGCTATGCTCCAGGGGATTGCTCCAGTCCATTACAGCTAGTTGCTGAATTCAGCTCACTTGCTGGAGACCAACAAAGTGCTGGTGTTGTTGCTTTCAGTAATATCTCCTGGGCTGATACACGCCTTCCACAGTATATCCACAACAATCAAAGGTTGAATCAAAGGGACCCAGCGTTCTATAGGCCTCAGTCCTAAGCGCTTGCTCCAGATCTGCAGTGGTCCAGTGACGAGGCCTTGCCATCTTGCTCACCGCCCCAATAAGATCACAGATCTTATACTCAATGGGACCATACTTGGGTTGGTAAGGAGGCCTAGGAATGGATACAAAGTGGTCCCCCCCCTTCTGGTCTGTCATGAAGCATCTGAGCTACCACACCAGTTAGATGAGCACTAAGATTGTCCCAAAGAAACACTCTATGAGTATCAGTATCGCCAGGTGCTGGATTCTGCTCCATATCAGTGCAGATCTTGTCAATGAACTGAGCAAAGGTCCAAGCTGTTGTCCCTGCTGTCCTAAGGACCTCAATCCATCTCCTTGGATTGGCAACGCTTCCTCTAGTCGCCGCTGGTAGTCTTGGATCCCCTGGCTCAATAGCCAGCAATACAGTCAGTTTCTCAGTCCTCTCATAGTGTCCTGAGGTTCAAACCCTCCTGCTTGTGATTGCCCATCCATACTTGCAGTTGGTCCATTGCATGTTGAAAGCAAACTCATCAACATCAATAAACTTCCTCCTCAGGATACCAACTACTCCAAGGGGGAAAGGCAGAGTCCAAAAGAACTCACATCTTATCAAGTTCCTGGGGGTGAATTCTTGATACGCTTCAGTGGACTTCCTCTTCCTTGTCACCTCCATTTCATGCAGTCTCCTGGAGATATCTACTCTTGAATATATTCCTCCCCCCTCATTATAAATGAATGTTGCCAACTCATCAAAGCTGGCAGAAGTATTTATAGTCAAACCAATTGCAAGCAGATAGAGGTCTGGTCCAACCAGCTTGCTTTGATCTCTGTTGCCTGTCTTTCTGTATGGATCAAGGTGTCTACTCCATCTGAAAAGAGATGCCTTACTGGCAGAAGTAGGAAGACCAGCAGCCTTCCTTTCCAGTTCCTGTTCCCTAGTAAAGAAGGCAGGATAGCCTTCACTCCCTCCCCTAGAAGGATGAGGCCTCTCAGCTCTTCTTTGTTGTGTTAATCTAGAAAGACCAGCACTGGCTCTGATCTTTGTTATCTTATCTGCTGGATTGATAGGCATGCTGATTGCTGTTACCAACATCKGTTGAAAAAGAAGCAAGTCGTCGTAAAATAAGAGTCGCTACTGTAACACACTAAAACAGTACTTCTACTGGGTCCTTTGCTACAGTTCAAAGTTTGTTCAATTGACAATTAAAGAGAGCTATCAATTGATACCAAGTACAGTAAGAAAGAGCAAGTGGAAGTTCTTGTAATGGAGCAATTCCCATGGTCGGTTGCTTCGAACCGGGGAGTTTTTTGAATGAATGAAAAGAACAGTTTAGTTCGCTGGATCAGCACGCTGGAGGCAGGTAAAGGTCAAGACAGTAGGACACACCAGTACAATTTTGAACAAGGAATCAAAACCCTTCTATTTCGAGCAAAACCTGCAGTGCTTTACCTTGATCCAACTTCAAATGCAGCATTTTGTGTACAGCAATGTACTAGGATCCATCCAAAACAGCTAATCTTGCTTCTTCTTCTTGCTTCCCCCCTCTGAGCAGCTGTTGGCCAGTCCCTGTGAGTGCAACGGTGTGGGGCTAGTACTAATTCTACTTAGGCTTACCTAGCATAGTTGGCAACTTGCCATACAAGTTGACAACTTCGGTTCAAAGTTGATTACTGTGTTTTAATGCTTTAAGTCTTACGGTAGCTGAAGAGCACTTCAGTGCTCTCTCGCGGCCGATTTCAATTGTTATGAAACGCGTAGTATTCTGACGAGTGATTTTATTTGCGCGCAGCTTTGTTTCCGCGACCACCAACCGACGAAAATTTTCGGAGACTAGACGCTAAGCACGTGCTCATCTCTCTCCGTTTTTTGTTTACTGTACTTCGTACTGTTCTCTGTTCTGCAAGAGGACAAATTTGCATGTACGATTCCATAAGCGTAGTACGATTACTAACTGTAATCGTACGAGTAGTACTCTGGTTTGAGATACTTTCTGTACTACGTAACGTATTGTTTTGCTGCGAAAGACGAATCTTGCCGAATGCAGCCCCCATCTCCGAACTTTCAATACCGGTACGATCCTTCAGATCGAGTGTAGCAGCGAGTAGTTTCAAAATCACAACATAGACAGGACTGCTTCTAGGCAACACCCAAGACAGAACGAAAAATGTTTGGGAACAAGAAGAAACGGCAGTCCGCACCCGGAGATGTCACCGGCACCCGCTTGAATGCCAAGCGGCGACGCCTAGAAAATTCACCATCGAGAACTACCGCACCTGGTGACAGCGAAAGTCCCTCTGTGCGTTTGACTGATAAAGAAGTATCACATGCAATGCTATTGAGAGCTGCAGAGGTCGGACTCGATTCCGCGATAAACGAGGCAAAGATGGAGAAATCGAGAAGCAAAATGGTAATCACTCCTCAAAGTGTTATTCAGACCAAAAAAATCTCATCGGTGTCAGATGACGACTCAAAAAAAGCAGGCAGGACAGGTACAACCGTGACCGAGAGAAAACCAGATCAAGCCATCCAACAACTGGATCCAAAATTAGCTGCCACGAACATCTGCGACTTTCGGAATGATGTCGATCTGTCGCCAGACGATGATGACCAGAGTTGCTCGTCCTCATCGTCTTCTTCCTCGTCGTCGTCTTCCTCATCGGAAGAGTCATCTGGTCTTTTGAGTTATCGTTCGAATAGTTCGAGGGAAGACGGCGAACAGAAACTTCCACCACTCAATGTTGGTGAGGAATACGAAGGGATTCAACGGCTGGAGAAAAAGTTGAGTCTCCGAAAGGAACGATTGAAAAAATTGTGCGCTGGCCGACCTGCTGCCTATGCAAGATATCTTGAGGCAAACGAGGAGGCGGCCGGTGATATTCGAATTGCTGAGTACAAAGAAAGCTACCCGGACGAAGACAAACCACTGTCTTGTGGATTGCCGCGCTCGAAGTTAATTCGAACCTGCTCGTCGCGGTTGGGCCTCCTCCAATTTGAGGCTATGCATACATTGCCCTGCTTTTATACGATTCTGGTCGTAATGGCAGTCCATTCCACATTTTGTGCCTGCACTGAAACAGTTTCAAACATTTTGTATGGCTCTATTTTTGAAAACATTGTTAGCAAAAACGTCTACAATGCTTTTGTGATCGGCTTTGGACTCGCTCTCTTGCGTATCAATGGTCATTGCTTTTGGTATACGGGAACATCGAATGACTATACTTTGATTCAAATGGAAATGGGTAATCGGCTTAAACTAAAAAAGTTTGATGCTCGTGTACTAAAAAAAATCAAGGAATCTGTTGCTTGCTCGGCGTGCAACATGTTTGGGTATTACTTGATTTGTGTAGGGATAGGCCACTTTCACTTCAGACACTTTGATAATCTGATGGATCAGTTCGATCTTTGGCTTGACAGCATATGGATTAGGGTTTCTGAAATTGTCAACGATGAAATGGCGAAGCAAGTACCTGAATCTGCAACATCAAACCTGGAACCATTCGGTTGCACCGCGGTCCCAGAAATAGAATCGGCAATAAGTCCAACATGCCAGGTAGCGGTCGACGTGCTTGCGTCCCCCAAGATCGAAGCTGTTACATCTCCCATCACGAGACAGTTGTACCACTTTTATTGCCTAGATTTCACAAACGAATACAAAAGCATGCAGCTTGTCGTTCACGGATTGTTTTTGCTGGTTTCAATTGCCTTGGCTCGTCGGGTTGGTCAGAATTTTTTGACCTTGTGCGACTAACCGCATATTTGGCTACCTACACCAGAAATCCATTTGCTACTGAAAATATTACCACATTATGAATCCTCATGAAAATATAGTCCAGACGGTGACAAAAATGATAATGGTAGTACTTTTCATTATGCTATGACTACTCACAAGTTGGATAGTTTTACTAGTGTGAAATGAAATTAGATTTCAATTTTTGGCGAAAGAATTAGATTTCCAGACCCTCCTCCTGGTACTGAAAATTGTGATTGGTTTTGATTATTTCTATGTTTTCGGGAATGACCCAATCACCCGATGTCTGACCCCCGGCGACAACTGTGTTGAATTCATGTATTACGTCATCAAAAATAGTTAAATACAGAAAGCCTAAAAGGGTTCTCCTCCACTGTTGACTAGATAAAACTATAAAGAATGAGGACATTGCCCACTTATACTAAAATCATTGGGTTCCTCATTCTGGTTCGCATTTCAATTCATTACATAAACACTCCAGTGGTTGCTCGCTTGTGCCCGCTAAGTACATTCATATATCCATAACTGTGGAAACACATGCCTCGCTTGGCGCCGTTAAGTCGCTAGTTCGCTTCGTCTGTCCGTCGTACGGTGCTTTGGTGTTCTTTTTGCTCAACAAACTGCGCTTCGTGGTGTCTGTGTCGTTCATCATCTCAATCGAAAGTCGAACAAGAAGAATTGAGCTCCAAATTCTTAGTCTGGTTTTGGTGAAGGAAATGCCACACAAGCAAAGTCGAGGTGCTTATTCCATGTTCGGAAACAACCGAAGCCGGACCACTTCTCACCAACACAGCGTGAATGGAAGATTTCATTCCGTTCTGCATCGCTGCCCCCTTGTCGCCGCTATTTGGTGTTTGCTCGCACTGGGTCAGAAGCAAGAATCGTTTGTAGTGTCACTGCACTTATTGCCACTGATCCATGCAAAGGCGGCAGCGATCATGACGCCTTCCGCAAGCGCTTCACCCAATGGCCACTCGACATCGTCTTTGCTCTTGGCAGCGTCGTCGTTTCCGGAGAAAGAAGCAAAGAAGCTCCTCGAAGTGGAAGAAAAATTCTCCTTTTCTGATCGATCAAAGCTCGAGGAGCGATTGAAAATGGAAGGATTCGCGCTTTGTCAAGAAGTCATCATGGTGGATTGGTATTACGATCGATTGGTGGCGAACAGTGAATGCTTGGCATCGGTGCTTCCMCTGGTCCGAAACGACCACTGGCTGAGATACCGTCAAATCACGAGTCGGAATTGCATTGAATGCGTCGACGGCGAGGCAGAGTGGCAGCTCAAGCGAGGCACCTCCATCGGTGGTGGCGACGGTGGTGCAACCGTCTATGAAGAAATTGAGGGAACTGAGGCCCTGAAAATTGCCTGTTCGCTGGCGAACAGAGAGCTATCAAAGAGAGACGAGGCAAACCCAACCAAAAATGAAACGGCGTTGCTCTTGTTATTTGAGGGGGAATCTTTCCCAGTGCCCCCGGTAGACAGTTGCGACCTACAGCCATTTGCTAAAATCGTGACGCACCGAGCCAAATGGGAGCAGCGACAAGGACAACAGCCAACGTCTGGAACAAAAACCACAAACGCCTCGTTGTTTTCGAAACTTGTCGTGGACCTGGACACAACTCCCGATGGGTTTGCAGTCGGCGAGGTGGAAGCACTGGTGGAAGCTTATGGCAAAACCGAGGGCACATCAACCGCCGTCTACCAGGAAGAAGCTGTTGCGATGGCTCGGACAGACATCCGAGAGCTCCTGGAAAGGATTCTAAAAGGAGACGACAACAACGACGACCGTAGTACTCCAACCCGTAGTCCCTCTATGGGCAAACTGGAGCAGTTCCTCTTTCTTAGGCAACCCCTGATCCATAAGGTGTGTGTCGAGTCTGGGGTCATTCCACAACCGCCGTTTTCCGCCGAAGAAGAGCCGTCCTCGTGAGGCCATCCCCTGAAATTGGTCGTAACAGTTGCTACAGAACTGCTGTTTCGTAAATACGAATGATGACTACAATGTCAAGGCATGGGGAGGTGAATGACTTATTGGCAAGAAGGGTAGCAGAAATGCCGCTCTATGGCCAGCGTCGAAGCTCGAGAAACAGCTTTCGTTTTCGAAAGCGAAGTTTCCTCCTTCCCCTTCTTTCCCGCGTCGTACGATCACTAAACATCGATGTTCGCCAGCTTCGGTACACTATTCTGCCATCGTGTTTGATTTAAGTCTTCTTACTTAAGTGACCCGGAGTGATTCATTCGATGAAACAAAGGTTTAGACTAAAAGCATAGCAAAACAATTGTTCACGCAGTGTCTGCTTGAAACTTCGTACAGAATGGTAGGAAATTATTTGCTACATTCCTTCGCTAAAACACATGATCGGATCTATCGCTTATCTCTACCGATCATAAACGTGAACTCTTCAACAAGTAGATGTTCACCTGTCTTCAAGGTTTTCAGAATTGGGAGAACAATCCGAACTCTGACACACCACAGCTAGCATTTTAGTAAGTGCTCGATTTACCGTGCATCGTCCTCGGTCACTGAGGGGTTGAAAGCTTTTATTTTCGTTATTAAGGCAATCTATTTAGAAGTTCGTATCAAACCAATCATGCGATGAGCAAACACGCACCACCAGCGGCCTTGATTTTTTGTTCCGCCAATCGCGAGAAGTATTTCGCCTTGACAATGACGGGAACATCGATCTGTCCGTTTCCCAAAAGCTTGAAGTATCCGTGGTCTACCAAGTTGATAACAGGGGCCTTGCCTCCTCCGTTTTTGGCGGCTTCATAGTAACCTTCCCCTGCAACACTGAAGATCTTGTCGAGGTTGATCGTTGGGCAGTGGGATCTGTTCTTCAGAACGTGGAATTGACGCATACCGACCTTACCAAAGTAACCAGGGTGATATTTATCCATAAGAATTCGGTGGTGATGTTGTCCTCCGGCATTACCGCGACCACTGGGGTGCTTTCGGTGCTTTCCGATACGACCGTGACCGGCGGAGACGTGTCCGCGCTTCTTTCGGTTCTTGTGGAGTCTGGTAGGCATGGTGGATAGTTTGTTATACTTACCTTCAGTAGTATGGTGTGTGAGAAAACGGCAAACGAAACAGATAGTGTGAGTCTGTTGGCTTCGACTCGGATTTCAGTTGTTATGGACCTCTTGTTTCGTCATGTTCCCATGAAACGGCGGTGACGACGTTGCCTTGGTGAGGGCTACGCTGAGAACAAAAGGAGCCAACCGATAGAGTCGGCCCTTGGCTTTCTCATTGCTGGGTATCGAATTCCAATTCACATTCTCACTACATTGAAGAATTCAACCTCGTTCTACTCCATGCGAATCCATCTCACTACCGTCATGGTCGCTCTCACCTTTTCCGTTAGTGATTGCCGTCGGTACAATAGGGTAAGGGATGGATTCCAGACACAAAATTGAAGGCGTTTATTGCTGCTTGGAACAGCATAGTCACCCGCAACAAGGACGAACTCCGAGGTCAAGTAAGGCGGTAAAAGGTGAATGGGTTATGTTTCTTTGAAGTTTTAGTCACGGTAGTCGGATTTTGAAGCCCGCTTGTAGCCACTGAAAAGGGAATCGATCAATGGTCTCCGACTTGAGCAATGCGCGCGCTTGGATGTTTCGCCCGCCAATCGAAGACGGCCGCGCGCAACAGCAAAGATGCAAAAAATCATGTCAAGGACTGGACGTCTATTGATGTCAACACAACCGATTGATAAGGGCCCTTTCAGTTGATGGATTGGATTGCCTCCGTCTGGTGGTGTTACTGACGTACAGTACGTACCGTGCGGTAAAAAATGTCCTCGTACTCGCATTCGCTCAACGTCCAGTAATTCGCACTGACGACGTCTAAACCAGAAAATTAGATTCAAGCCGTTCGGACCACTGCATCAAATCAAAGCTTGGGATAAACAATAAACATCAAGACAAAAGAACAAATACCATTTCGTTGAGAACGAACGACAGTAATACATCTACAGATTAGCACTCGCTCTGCACGTCAACATTGAATTTTGAAAGAGAATGAATACTGCATTGACGGCATCGAGGCGGATGATCCTCTTGTCATCGACAAGGGTGAGTGCGAAAAAAAGGCAACCATCTTGACTGTCGCGGTGCGCTGCGGTTTGATGTGATGTTTGCCGGGAAAGAACCTTGAACCGGCACGCAAGCCCGCTTCATCTGACATTATTGACAATTTCTATTTGCGTCTCTTGTCTTTGTTTGCTTGTTTGCTTGCTCGATGCACAACCGTTTAGGCGTCACCTGCTGCAAGACAGTTTGCATCGCTTCGTTGGCTTGCCCATCCCGCCGCCGCAACTTCCTCGTCATCTTTTGCTGGCGAAGAAGCCCAAAAAAATTCCTGGACCGCCGCGGCCGCCCTTGCCGTTTCGGCCTTCTTGGGAGCCGGCACGATTGCTGCCTGCGATGGGGCTCCTTCCATGAAGAAAAGCAACGTTTTCGATCCACAAACCTACCCAACATCCGACGAAACAGAATCGTCGCCGKTCGAACCCATGACGGTCTATGCAAAGATGGCCATAAAGACCGAGTTGGAAGAACAGAAACAGCAGCGGCTTCAGGCAACCAGTCCCACTGAAGAACGCAAAAACGCCCGTCTGGAGGAACAAAAGGCAGTCCTTTCCCTGGCCGCCGATGCCGTGCCCGAAATGACGGCCTCGGAATGGGAAATCGAGAAGGCGACCAAGAAGGCCAAGAAGCATTCTGGTGGAATAAAGCTCTTCAGCGGAAACGGTAATCTCGCCCTCTCGCTGGAAATCTGTCGCCACCTCGGAATCAATCTCGGGAAGGCTACGGTCGGACGTTTTGCCGACGGTGAGGCCAACGTCGTCGTGCACGAAAACGTTCGTGGCAAAGATTGCTACGTGATCCAACCGACCTGCCCACCCGTCAACGACAACATAATGGAGTTGCTGCTCATGGTGTCGACTTTGCGAAGAGCAAGTGCTCGCAGAATCACCGTTGTCATTCCCTACTATGGTTACGCTCGACAAGATCGAAAGATGCAGGTATGGAAAGGTTTTACACAACGTGGATAGGTTCGATGTTTTAGTGCATTGCCGGTTGAAATATTTGACGCTTGCATTGCAATCTCACGGAATTATTATACGCGTTCGCTTTCCTTTAGGCACGTGTTCCTATTTCGGCAGCCGATGTTGCCCGTTTGATCGAGGCGATGGGAGTAGACCGCGTCATCGCTGTCGATTTGCACTGTGGACAGATTCAGGGGTTCTTTGGTCCTCGGGTGCCCGTTGACAACCTGGACGGTGGCATTGTGGGTCTTGATTACTTTGGATCCAAGGATCTTCACAACCCCGTCGTTGTCAGTCCCGATGCTGGTGGTGTTTACAGAGCGAAAAAATTCAAGGAAGGTCTCGTGCACAAGTACGATATGCAGGATATCGGATTGGCTATGATTGTAAAGCAGAGAGCACGCGCCGGGCTCGTTGACACTATGGACCTCGTGGGAGACGTCAAGAACTGCGATTGCATCCTTGTCGACGATATGATTGATACCGCTGGTACACTTTGTAAGGCCGCCGATGTCTTGATTGAGAACGGTGCCCGCCGAGTCTTTGCATTCGCAAGCCACGGTCTGCTTAGTGGACCCGGAAACGATCGACTTGCCAACTCGAAGATGGAAGAAATCGTCATTCTGAATACCATCCCTACGTCTCCTCAACGGGAAGCAAACGAAAAGTTGACCATGTTGAGTGTAGCCCCGCTACTTGCTCAAGCAATCTTCAACATCCACGCAAAGAAGAGTATTTCGGCTCTCTTCAAATGAACTCAGGGGAATCAAAATCTCATTCGCACCATCATGTCCCTCAATCCATCCTTCGCAAGCAAATAAAAATAACAAAAAGAGTCAAGAAAGGAAAGTATTAGTAGACGCCATTGAGTCCCTCGCTTGTATTTACTTCCTGTTTGTAGGGTCACTCTGAGATTGAGGATAGTTATTCCAAAGGAACTTTTCGTCTTAAAAAACGATTGCACCATCCAAATCCTAATGTTTTGTTCAGCTCGGTGATTTGGTCGATCTATTCACCAGCACAGTCCTTGGCGATAGTTGCAAAAAAGGTTCATGGTCTCTGCAGAGGTAAGAATGTGGTGAGGAAGAATGACCCACCATATCTTGCAACTGGGCATTCCATGGACAGATTAGCTTCAATATTCTTTCTAGAAGGCAAATGAATCCAACCACAGGAGTGTAAACGCATACTCCAAAACGAAGCGACACAAAACGCTTCATCACCAGAAACTTCCCTGGTAGTCCCTGACATCCTTCTGAATCCCACCAAACCACTCTGACACAATACTTTGATTTATTTCAGCTGGGGATTTGTCTTCAGAGTAAGGAGAATTTAGAAGGAATCACCAGAGTGCAAGATTTTCCAATTTTGGGGGGGGGGGGGGGGGTTGTCATTTTATTGTTTGTCAGAAAGGCGAAACTATTTGTGTAGGATTCAACTGAAAACTCTATGTTGTGCTGAAATATCAAATAGAATTTGGCAAACCTCGAAACATCACTCTTATTACAGATAAAAATGATCACCTTTGCCACATTCCCAAAAGTACTGGGACACAATCAGTGTGGTACGATTTGTAAGACAAAGTAAAATAATTATCATTCATGACCATTGCATGTGATACGAATGCGATTGCTACTGTAAGTTACTTAGTAACACCTCGTACTGTAATAAGCAGTATTCTCGTCAAAAGTGCATGCATTGCATTTCCCTAGAGTTGATTGTGAAGACAAAAAACAGTTAAGATCACATCAAATGCACCTAACGAGACATGAAAAGAACGAAACTAGTCAAAAGACAGAAGATAAGCGGCCCATTCAAACGCTTCAAGCCTCCTCAAGATGGATAGAATTTGATTCCATCAAACCATCGAGATCAGCAGACACTGAAGCCATCCTAGCGTTTTCTGCGACGGTAGCGGGTGGTTTCTTTTTTCCAGTTCCACCCAGAAAGGAATTGCGTCTAGTTTCCCGATTAACATCAAGAATAGACACATGACGCTTGGATGCATGAGCATTCATATTGCACTTCCCGCGCCTCACTTCTTTCTGAACACGAATCATTTCTTCTATCATGTGTTCTGCTTCGGATTCCTTCAGAAGTCCATACCTGACAAGCCTCTCGACACCATGGATGGATTGGCTCAAAAGGACATCGCAAACCTTATATGTGGCGACCTCGATCACGAATTTTGTAAGCTCTGGGCTATTTAAGTCTTCCTCAACCTTTGACACCTGGCGTTTGCTCTCCCTGATAACAATTTTTCCTGCTTCCGAAAGTTGGGCGTCAGAGTCACCCAATTCTTGTTGGAAGAAATCCTGTGCGCGTTCGTGGGCAGTTACAAATGCCAATTCTAATAAAATAAAATGGTGAAGTTCGAAGTCATTGAAACTCGATATTTTGTCACGACGCAACCAAGCAGTAGCCTTGAATGCAACCCTGGTGCAGTTCAAAGCAATGGTGTAAAATTCCGTCAAATGGGTTAAGTCATTCAATGCTCCCCCCTTGTTGACGTCAGACTCGGCCATTTCAAGACTTTGCTCAAAAGCAATCGTTAGTCCATGTTGAGAAGTGAGAAAGCCCTCGTCGATAAGTTTTTCGTATTGAGCTTGAAGCATAGAAATGAACAGGAGTCGCAACTCCTTAGCACTAAGAGGGTCGCCTGTCATCATATGATGCATACTCGATCTACAAACTCCCTTTCTCCCTTTTTTTCGCGATTCAATTCTTTGCATCCTCAAGAATCTTGCCGAATCCTCGGTGAGGATTGTGTGCGCCTCTACATTTGCGTCGCGATCTTGGCGTTTTAAAACTGATAAAACATTTTCAAGATGAGGGGGGCTGTATTTACTTGATGGTGTCGAATCTTTCAATGATTCCACCGCCTCAGCAAGCTGTTCAATTGTCAAGTCTCTCAGATAAGGCATGTGGTCTTGAATGAACTGAAAATCGACAGATTTGAACATTTTGAATGTGAGAAGTTTGACGCAGTTATCGATCTGCTCTGACCTCAAACGAACTTTATATGCTTCGATAATTTTCCCTCTTTCTTCTGTAGAATCTGCAAGGCCGAGTTTCTTCAGGAGGGGCCCAGCTGTTGAACCATTTATTAATAAAGTTAAAAAGGCAATGCCACCAACCATAGCGTAAAGTTGCTTGACGCTTCTTCGTTCCTCTGAAAGATCTTGTGCGTTTCCGTACTCTAGGACTTGGTTATCCAGAGCGATAGAGAGGGCGATGCCAACAGCACCGCGAAGGCCACCATAGATCTGGAACGCGGTCTCTTGCCAATTGGTTCGTAGTCCGATTCGAACAGTAATTGGATAAGCTGCCGCAAACAAAACAAAGCGAATTATATGCAAAAGGACATAAAGCAGAATCAAGTAACCCCACTCCTTTGCTCCCCAATACCCTTCCATATGAGTTTCAATTAGTACTTCTCCCCAAACAAGGCCTCCTAGCGAAAAAAGAACAGTGTTTAAGATATGTTCGAGCACACCCATGAAGTCATCCATTAGGTGGATGTCATTAATTGACGAACGACCGAAAAATTTGACACTAAGCCCTGCTGCCACTGTCGCAATCACACCACTTGTATGGCAAATTAAGTCCGCTATGAAATAAGTGAGATACACCAAACCAACGACGGCTGTTACCTGCACGATATTCTCTTCTTTGCCGAATCGGCGACTCAGCTTGGACAAAACGAAAATTATTGTACCTCCAGCTACCATGCCGATTGCGGTCCCACCAAACGCCATTTGGGCAAAAATCTGCGAGAGCGCGAACCAAAACGATAATTAGATTTTCTGGGACGCAGTTGCACTTATATTGAACTTACATAGCATTTATAGACACTGTGAAAGGTAACGTTAGCCATACCTTTATTCCTTCACTCCAGCCAATACTGTCACCGACTGGGACCCTGAATTCGGTGTAAAAAATTCGCGAAAAGATGTAGAAGAAAACAATTGCGGCCCCATCGTTCAATAAACTCTCCCCAGCAATATGGGTAGATAAGCGAGGGGGTGCTCCTGTGAAATGTGAATATAATATCATGGTACATAAGGGAGAAATATGAATGCAGATGAGACAATACATGTAGCAAATGGCCGAACACACCACAGGCTGTGTCAGACAAAGATTATTCAATACTTACCAACCTCTTCCAGCAAGGCTGCGACAGCTACAGGATCCGTTGCGGATAGGATACTTCCAAAAGTCAAGCAGAGAAAGAAAGACCATCCGAAAGGGAAAATGTAGTACGCTACGCATGCTGTCAAAGCAGTCCCTGCCAGCACCAAGGGGAAGGCAAAAATCAAGAGCTGGCCAATTCCCATGGCAAACAAATATGCATTTTGGCCAAGAGCATCCTTGAAAATCAGACCAGGTAGGAAGACGAGCAAAAGCACTTCGCTGTTGATATCTTGCCATGCTGTAAGAGTGTCGTGCATATAAGTTTCACTTCCATTCGGACGGAAGAACACTTCGCTGGCGGAAACAGTTCCCATGATGACTCCGAAGAGGAACATAAGAGCGGTATAAGGAAGCCAGTGGAGGTAACGGGAAAGACAGTAATAAACTATCACGCCGAGGGTCAAAATTAATGGCGGATAAAGAACCGCATGAGCTGGGTGCATGTGCAATTCCGCATTTCCAGAATGTGTCACTTCTGTACCTGATTCTTCCACGCTCTCGTTTGCCGAAGAATGGCGGATCAACATCAAAAGCGGCAAAAACATAAATAAAATCATGGTATGCCACGATAATGTCCCGCCGACGTTGGGGACTAGTGTTTTGTTCAATACCTTTTCTTGGAAGATCGTCTCAAAAATCTGAGATCACGATCTTCTCTGAGACATTTAGATATTGTTTGAAAGGTGATTTTTTACTGTAACCGTCGAGTTGCTCAACATTTTCATGTACTCAGCGCGCGTAGTATTTTCTAGGTACAAACACTAGTTATTTTTTGCCTAAGTACATGCACCTCAACTGGTTACAAAGC